CGCCGCGGTCACAATGACGTGCGGCACACGCCGTGGAGGTGTCTCGTGGGCGGCTTGGAGCGTTTTGTTTTTGGGATAAATGAGATGGGGATTTGTGGGGCTCGTGAAATAAAGTGTTGGGGCAACACGTTAGCAGTTAGCCCACAACAAACGACCACACTTTTTGAATTTACACAAAGACCCATGTGGCTCGCGTGGTTGTGTGTCTTGATCTCCGCCCGTACGTGTATTAAAACATGGCGCACAACGGTGTTTTTAGCACGAGGGTTAAACTACGTCCAGCGTGCAACCACTGGGCTTATCTTAGCTAGGCTAGCTTAGCCTAGCTAGGCTAAAACGCGCGGCCTAACACTGCCCCATGTGCTGCTGCTTTGTTCTGTGGGCACTTTAACTCACACGCCACTGCACTCGACACGGAGCAACAAAATAAACCGATTTGTAAAACTTTCTCTCCGGGAACCGGACCAGCACGTTTATACCGAACCGGGTGTGGTAATTAAGAGGCCTGATTTTTGTTCAACTAGTTGCTAAAGCGCAGCGGAGAGAAGCTCCGGACAGCTTTTCAAATCTCCCTCATTCCCTCAATGGTGGAGCAGAGGGGGCTGCCACGCTGTTTTCATCGCCAGCAGATCACCTATGTTCAGATATCCCCGCCGGCCGGATAGTAAAACACTTTTTTAAATGTATTAAATACGCATTGGTTTGGACATTGCGTAAAGGAACCGGGGCTGAGCAGCAGAGGCAGAAACCCCCGGACTTCCTCGGCGATAAACACGCGTTCGGTAGAGACTCACCAGCTGAAATCCACCATCTTCGCTCACTTGCTCGGTCTGCAGTCTCCTACCGACAAAAAAAAGAAGAAGAGAGAAATAAATACGCAACTATTCCGAAAACTTTTACACCTGCGGATTAAAAAAAAAACAACAACAAAAAACGGAACATAGAATGAAGTCCGAGTCGAGGCGCGAGCGTGTTCGCAGCCCTCGCACGCTGCTTAAAGAACGCTTTGCGGGATTTGGGAAAGTGGCGCGAAGGCGACCAGTTGGTAACCATGTGGGTGAATGAAGGGCGGCTCCCACTGAACGTAAATATCTAGCTACAACCCCCCGACTCTCCCATTAGCATACATAAACTACGGTACTTCCGACCCGCATCTCCAGCCAAACAGCCTCCACCTCCCCGGAGGAAGCGGAGGGGCGAGCGGCTGCCTTCCACATCCTTAAACATAAAGAAAACATGGACGCATGCTTATCGGGGGGGGGAAGAGCCGCCTGGGCAGCCGGGGAGTTTTATGTTGATTTGAGTTTTGCATTGAGATGTTGACGAATACAAATGTGAATCATCTCAAAACAAGTTTCATTTTTTTTTCTGTGAGAATAATAGCGCTGAGTAGTTGAACTAATGTGTATTGGTAGCGACCATATGTTGTTTCTTAAGTGCCCCCGATGCTTGTTTGACTAAAAGATATTAACGATTAATTAACCTGTTGCTTGTCCACAACACATTGAAATTAGCCCACGGGGAATAGTTTTCACACATATCAGCCTGAAACTCACCCATGATAATTAGTTTATTTTTTTATCGGACGGAAAAGGTTTTGCATTTACTTGTAAATTGTGATTTGACAACCTTTTATGATATAAAACAATGGTATTGTATGCGTTATTAATACATTCAAATAATTACGTTTTTCCGATCATTTATTGCATTAATCGTCTATGTAACACCCATTAAACACCAGAGTCAATGTGTATTAAATAGAATATAGATCTTTTGAACGTTTTTTTATTCAGGAATAATCATTTACTCAAACTCACTTAACATTTTTGCCAAATTGGCTTCCAACCACTGATTCAAAATAACATGTGCAGCAAAAATAATTATACAATAAATAATCCTAGGACTAAAATCATTTAAATATATTAATTAAACAGATTGGGGTGTTTAATTAGTTTCTTTCATACTAGAAATATTTTTCACTATATTCTGTCAGTAATATTTTGACCTTCAAAGTAATTTTACTCTACACCAGTACTTAGCTTCCCCAAATTATTGAAACAATGTACATTTGGTTTGTGCAGTTAATTACCACTTGTTAGAATTATAAAATATTTACAATCACAACTGCATTTCATCATTTTTCTCAGGCATGAAAAAAGACTTCATTTCCCGTTTGTCCACAGCTGCACAGTTTTCTCAGAGTATTACAACAAATTAAATGTGTTGGGCAGTGGGGCCCAGACTTACTGCCAAACACATTCAGTTTGCATTCGGTTAAAGTAAAAACCTCTCGGAGCACTTTAAAAGTGTTCGTTAGGATGTTTGAAATTACAGAATTCTTACATACTTTGCAGTGAGATCGAAAGAACGCTGTAGATGTGTACAAGCAAACATGCTTCAGATATTTGCGGCATTCTACAAAGTGTACTTTTATAATGAATATAAGATCTCCTGGTTTTGTGTTTGTTTTTTTAATATGTTTATGATGAGGATGGCTGTGGTTTGGTGCTCTGCAGAAAGAAATTCAGCTATTCATTACAAGGATATCATTTTAACATGATTATGAACATGAGGTTTTCCTTTTGCCCCCCGCAGCAGAACTCTTTATGTACCCTGATTTAAGATCCATTTGCAACTGTTTCAGGGTGTTTTGCCTGCAGCTTATCATAAAGGATCACATATCACTGAAAGATTTTTCCCTCAGATATAGTTGAATAGAAAGAAATAGAGGTCGGTAACTTTCCTAACTTTCATTTGTGTTAAGAAGAGCTTTTAGGTCCCACCCACAGCACCCGGATGTTCCAAGAAGAACAGTACCCGGTTCTTCACAGAGATTACAGAGGGCCGAGGATGATGTGGGGCAGCGAAATACAACAATTAAGGCTTACAATCAGATTGTGAGGGCCGGAAGGATTCTTCAACAACCATGCTTGCAAAAAATCCAGAATTATTTTCCATCAAAAGGGTTCTTGATTTACACCCTTAGTCTTACGAGAAACCCCTTGAAAAACAGCAGAGCAAATGGCTGTGGGTGGAACCTCAATCCTGAAGGGCCGTCTATGAGTGTCCCCTGCAGCTTTAAGGACCAAAAACAAATCTAAATTCTATGTTGCCTTTGCACACAAGCCAAATATGTAAATACATTTCAATCAATTGTAAATGGCTATTTATCAAGAACACCCAAGTCTATTTTCATTGGAGTTAATAACAAAGAAACCAGAGATGATCCCCTCCAAATCATTAACAGACCCCCCCTCCTCCTGCTAAATGCACCCCTTGAGTAGTTGAGAGTACAATGGGGGTTTGAATGAAACGCTGTAATTAGTTTTACCTTACAACACAGAGCAACTCATTGTCATTAATGAAACGTCGCGTTGAGAAGCCGCACAGATGTGAGTCGATCGCATGCAGAAACTTAGGTATTGTGGAGCGTCCAGTCTGCTGCTGACCTTCAGTGTTCTTTATCAAATTTGTTGGACCCTGTCAACCGCCACAAACAGCGTGAGCGTGATTCAGTATGGCAGCTGGCCAGCAGAGGGAACCAGCAAACTAAATACTGTACTGAAAAAAAGACATGATTGCATTTCAACTGTAAGAGGAAGTAACCTACCACAACTTCCCCATTCCTGGGGTTTCTGTAGTTAAAGATGCATCACCTGTATGCAACCCACTGACCGTCAGAGAGGGGTTGGAAGCGTGTGTTGCCAGCTGCTGATCGATGACATTTGTCCATTATTTAGTTGTGGTGCTGTTGATGTGAACTACACTCGGTTGTCCACAGATTGGTCAAGTCCACTTCCACAAAATGTTAATTCGATTTGAGCTTCAATGTTCACTCCTCGAATACCCCCCGATTCCAGAATATCTGTTCGTCTTCTCCCACATCTACGGACACAGGGTGGGAGTGGGAGCGCTCATTCGTGACCCCCGACCCCCCACACAAAGCCAGTGGTGGGGCTAGTTCCTCTGCATATGGAAGTGAGGTGGGGGGTGGGTGGACGCAGGGAGCCTGCAGACTTCACATCGTCCCATGGGGTCAGATAAAAGCTTACAGCTCTCCTTATTAGACCTTCCCCCTCCTGGTAAAGCCCTGTGCGCTCTGCACAAACGTCAGTTAAAGATTTATGTGGGTATCAGTTGCAAAAGCATTTTAGGACACTTTTTATATAATGGTTTTTATATTATTTGGGACAAGGATATAGTAAAAATAGCAATCCATTTGGACAATACAGCGGTACATGCAGATACGGGATGTTTTTTATTTCTGCATTATAAAACTGAGCAGACCTCACAAAATGTACAGCTTCAAATGGTAATACCTGTGATATTCAAGCAACTACTGTACTGTAACCATGATATAAAACATCCCGTCTGATACAGTCCACTTCTGGGTCTTTTTTTCTGAGTAAAATACCACAGCCAAGCCCCTCCCACAACAGGGGCCATGAGCCCGGGGGCCTCTGTTTTGTTCTTCCTATAGAAGCCCGGCCGCCATTGTCTTCACGTGATCCTTAGGTCAACTGAACTCACCTCTACCGACCACAGCCCATTCAGCTGTGAAGCCTCACATGGGACAATAACGTCTCTCAGGGCCGAGGATCACTTCAAGTGAGGGGGTGGGAAGACACACACACACACACACACACTCACTGACACACACAGACAACGAGCACACTCTGTAGTGTTTCAGAGTCACAAGTTGCTGTTTCTGTTATATTGTCTTTTCACAATGCAGCAGGACACTAGAGCATGTTGAGGTCCTACGAAGTGCTCAAAAAATGAATTGGTCTGCTTATGGTTCATTGCATTCCCCGAATGCGTTTCTCTGTTGGAAAACACCCAGAGTCATTTAAAATTGTCTGCGACACGTTGGTCTATTAAGATAATTTACAGTAAGTAGTAATAACGTCATCTTTGACACATTTCCCAAAGAATCTCTCACTCGCCTGAGAGGAAACTGCATGTTGCTGCAGGTTAAGAATGACAACATCCATTCCGCGTCCCGTCATCCATTTATTACAAGTCAATACATCAGGCTACAGGCCAAATAGAAAAGTAGTGCATTGTCACAGTTATCACCATATTCAGCCCAATGTTCTCCTGCAAGTTTTGTTAAAAAAAAAAAAAGCATTTTATTTTTATTTTGTTGACTAGTGGCTTAATTTGAGCGGAGCCGTTTCCTTGTTGGATGCACATACAGCACATTGTCCTGGAGATCCTCCAGTCTGCCTTCCAGAGGCAACAGTGTCCCTGGTGGAGAGGAAGCTCATGGAAGCTGACAGGTTGAAAATGTGCAGCATGATGTGGCTGAAGGAGCATGAAACATGTTCACCCATGGATGCTGTGCACAGAGCCTCGGGAGGCCCTATAGGGACAATTAAATGCTAGGTGTTTTTATATTTAAATAAAAAGAAATGTCATTACCCTTAGAGATGGTTTCGTAGCTTGCAGGTAGATTAGACACATGTGTTGAACTGTGAAGACGAGCCTGTGGCTGTTAAAACATCTTCATGAGTTGATGGGAACCAGTGAGAGATGTTGATGCACAGCCTTCTCTCGACCCCGTGTCCTTCTTCTGGTCGCGGCGCTGTTCCCCCGCAGAATGTCAATCAATGTTCCATTGATACCGTTACGTAATGGTGAGACATGCTGATTGGGGAAGCATCTACCCACCCAGAGTTATTCAGAAAACATTTTTGAATATAAAGTGTGTGTATCAACCACATCAAAAACACCTACCAGTGAAAACATCTAAATGTCATTTAAATCTAGAACAGCGGGTATAAATGCTAAGTGGGGACCTCCATTATCTTCTATTCCTTTTCTGCCTGCGTGTCCATCTCGTTTACTGTTGCTGGTTTGTGAAAGGAGCGATGATGAGACGATGAAGAAAGCACTACTTACAACTTGTCTCCTTTCTTTAACTCTTCCCCCTTTACCAACAAACAAAGCACTTCTGCTGTTTTTACGTGTTTTCTTTTCAGCACAGCTTTATACGCTGTTTGAGAAGAGTTATGTCTTTAGAAGGAGACATAATATTACCTAAATAACATCTGCCTGGAACAGAGGGATCCATTGCACAACATTTTAAACTGAGTCAGAAAAAAACATTCAAGTTCTCTTCCGTTTGGCGTGTTGGAGCGCGATCAGTCTTTATGGGGAGATGTAGTGGAAAGGAAAAAATAATAGGTTTCTTGATTTGCTTTTTCCTCTGGTGGAAGAAGTGCAAAATGCACTACTACGATCCAAAACTCTGTAATTAAAATATAAGTAAAAGTATGCAATTATTACCAGGCAATGTTCTTATTAAAAGTAACCTCCGTAAGTAACCGTTATATTTAACAATCTAAAAGGACGAAACGTTTGACACAGAAATGAGCAAAACAGTCAACATTCCTTTTTTGATGAGTTTTGTCTGTAAATATTAGTAGTACAATGTACCCAAAGTAACATCCGTTTAAAAAGCAACATTTTTAAAAAAGTGTCACAAGTTTCATAGTTCTATGTTATTGGATCATTATTACTGATCGTTTTAATGTTTAATGTTGGGTAGAATGGAACTCTAATATAAAGTTGTGATAAGTTGTCCATGTAAAGTCTGCAGAGTAACAACTAACTGGATGTGCCGCCATTTGAATGTAGAGAAATAAAAAGCAAAACATTGTAGTGGAATGAAATGAGACTTCAAGCTCCTCTCTGGTCGTCTCTCTTCGCTCGGTTTGCACTTGTGACAGAAATGTGAGGAAAAAAAGTTCAGAGCAGGAGCTCAGATGAACGTGTGACGAGTTTGGACGTTACCTTTCTTTCCAATTGCTACAAACCAACTAAAGCGGCGGATGTGCTGCGAGTCCCAGGCAGCGTTGGGACCCGCAGGCCGGCACCACAGCGGCCCACATCAGACTTTGTAGTAGACGTTGGTGGGACTCTGGGGCGTTATCTCCTGAACGATGTACACAGGGGGCCCGTAGTCGCCGCTCGCACGCTCATAATGGCGACAGATCATGCTGTCAGAAGCCCGCAGAGGAAAGACGGCAACGCTGCGGTCCGAGTCGTTGTAGTCGCTGCCGATGCTGTCCCGCTTCGCCCCGGCCAAAGTGCCGAGGGACACGGAGGCCGGCTGCTGGCCGTCTGGGACGAGGAGGAGGAGGCGGCGGCGGCGTCTCCACAGCAGCACCAGCAGAATTGTGACGACCAGGAGGAGGGTCACGCCGCCACAGGCGACCCACATCAGCAGGCTCGCCGCTGATCCATCGCCGCCGCTGGGGTTGGTTTGTCCCGTTTCCGAGTCTGAGTCCGTCACGGGAAAATCGGAGGAGGGAGAGAAAAGAGGGATGTGAGGTGAAAGAGCGAACTGGGACACGCAGACATTTAGCAACACACTTTCCCTCAGAAGATGTGTCCTCATCTTTAGTGTGTAACTGCTAAACGCCATGTTGCTCTCCTCTGAATCAGAAAACGTTTTAAGCCATTTTAACAACAAATGATACATCGTTCAAAATGATAAACTTCAGTACACATCCACAGCTGAACTGTAATTCGTCAGCGATTTGCATCGTGAGAGAATGTGCATCAACAATCAAACTTCTTTGGTTAGTATGCTCCCTGGTTTAATTGTAATTGAGTTTGGCTCTTTAATGCACTAAAAACAGCAGCAATCTGCAGTGTGGATTTGAAGCACTACGCAGAATAGAGGTTTATCAGCGTTGATCGAATGTATAGTCATTTGCATCCATGTGTAGATACAGATGTTAGAAGTAAGTCAAACATTCTTTTTTGGAGAAAAACATTAACAAAACTAAATTAAAAAATACCCCAAAGATTATATTATATATATTATAATAACCACAAAGATTTGAATTCACTTTCATACTTCATACAGCATACTTTAAAAGCTAATTTCATGAATAATTTCTTGCCACCTGGGCAAGAAAATAAAAAGGTAATCAGTAAAGTTAAAGAGTAAAGCAGAAGAACAGATCTCATTTCTGTGAGTTAACAGAACTAACTAATACTGATTTGATGACAGTGGCTTGTCTCCTCTCCATGGAGCAGAAACAATTAGAAACACATCAACGGGTCCCGCTCTGTGGGCCCTGTGGTTTACTGTCCTACTACATGGAGGAAATTAGTCCTTAGCAAATATTTACTACTGTTTCGTTGGCTAAAGAATGCAGTCCACCAATATCTTTTGAAAATAGTTAGCCTCTTTTTAAAATACAGAGTGGGCTAAAACATGGAAAATATATAATTCATTTTAAAAACATTTCTGCTTTGTCTTCATACCAGTTTCGCCTTTACTATCCTCTTCTCTTGCAGGCGGGTCCTTGGATTTGGACTTCGGCCGTGTCGGGGGGAACCGAGTGGGGGATTCCTGCAGGGTTGAAGTGGGATCTGAAGAATCTGTAAGAATAAAATCACAACGCACAACTATAGTAGCCAAACACTTCACATCCCCTGTGTGTCCCTGCATGGCAGCGAGTGCAGGTGGGGTCATGTCATCGTGTCCCTATCGGGACGTCTGTTAAATCACTGATGGGTGGTGTCAGGACCAAAGCAAGAAACGGTTTTCCATCAAGAGATTGTTTTGCAGCGGCAGTCACTCAGGTAAAGATGCAACGCTTTCCTAAACAGACAACAACAATTGTGTGCCGAGTCATGACCGGGTCTCTCATTTACCTGCTTTCAGGATTCAGCTGATTCAAATCCTTTACAAAAGGAATCTTAGTAAATGTAGGAAATTCAAAACCTAAATCGGCACTCTACCAATTTTACCGTTTTATGATGTTGTAAAACTAACTGCGAATAAAGTCAACAAGACAACAATATGATCAACACATTGATGCACCTGTCATGTAACAATGTCACTTTACATTTTGCTAATGATTCTTTTAGGGAAAAAGGATATTTTTTGCAGGGATTTAACTTATGATGGAGTATTTTTGCATTGCTTTGATGCTATTTTTTATCAAGTAAAGCATGTGAATACTTCCTAAAACATTGCTTTTTAAGTCTCTCACAAGTCCCTCTGCTTTGTGCACATAATAATTGGGCTTCAGCTGATATGGATGAAATTAAATAAAGTTCCTTCATTCTAACATTTAATTTGTTTTGGTTTATTCATTTCATTTATTATTTAATAGGGATAACACAGGTAAATCAACATTTCTGTACAGCATTCATTCAGTTTTTGGAAGTAGTTCAATTTTACTCAACTCATTTAGCATAAAAGTACAAAATTAATTATAACTATATTTTCAGTTCTAAAATGCTCAATCCATTGATGCAAACCTCAGAAGGATCGTGGCCAAAGCTAAAATCTCCACACAAGACTGGAAAAGGCAGGAATTTGAATATATAAAGATATTGAGAGGAGAAAACAAGTGAATCTGAGTTATTAATGTTTTCTGTTGCTGTTAAAAGCTCTGTTTACATCAGTAGCAGTTTGTAAACACAGCAAGAAAAAAGCCCCATATTTGCAGTTATGATCCTCTGAGAAACACACAAAATGCTTATTTTTCATCTCAAATTCTTAAATAATTTATATGAATAATACTTCACATTCATGAGGTCACAAATTACATGTTGGAGCTTTAAAAAATTCAGCTCTTCAAGTTTTTAGGATCACACACAGGAACAGCATCTGTTTATTTTATCTGGTTAACCTCAAAACACCCCAAAACACAACTATAAATGCCTGTTACTTCAAATATAAGGTGATGTCCTAAGAACAAATCCCACCACCATCACAGTGTACTGATTTAAAAAACAATAATTTTGTCTCGATATCCCAATAAATTGTTTGGACGGAAAAGTCAGTGAATACGTTCAGAATCGGTGTTATTAGACTATTGTCTATTTTGATGTTTATCCAGGGGGGAAATACGATTGACAGCCCGGATGATCGCAAGCAGGATAATACTGACGGTCTTAAACTGCCAGCGGTTTGAATTAGGGATTTGAGATAATTCGTAACGGCAATCCCTCTTCAAGAGAATGAATAGATGATTGAGATTATCTGACCACTTAGAAATGCCAAACAGGAGTGATATCATTGCAGGACGCATACAACAACCACGGGGAAACAATCGTTGTCATTGTTCCTGCATCATTAGTCATTTAGTTGCTCTTTTATCCTCTCACCCAGCTTTACGCAAACACAAAGTACTTACTTTGGCCGACTCTCAGCACGAGCTTCATGGATTTGGTTCTGCACACCCCTCCATCAGGATTATCCAGACCCTGCAGAGAGCCTGCAGAGGTGGCTGACATACAGAGAAAGAGCGAGAGGGGAGGCAAACATTATTAAGTATTGTTGAACATTGTATGTTTCATGCAATCATCTTAGTATCGGATTAGCAATGCATGTTGCAACGTCGGAGGCAACAGGATGCCGCCACAATCCCACAGCAAAGGTGTAAATGATAGTTTATGAATTATTTGGTGTGTGAAATATCAGAAGACAGTTATAATTAGTGTTTTGTCAGATCAGCGCTCCAACATCTGAACGGGCTTGTTATCCCATCAGACAGAACAAAAGCAACAAATATTCATATTTATGAAGCAGGAACCGGAGAAGCGACATCATTTTGCAAGGACATTAACTATTAATTAATTATCAAAACAGTTACAGATACATTTTTCTTGTTGCACTGACAAATCCACTCTCTTTAAATTCAAAATGTGTTTTTTTTTCTGCTCACGCTGTCTAAATCAGACATAAACACACACACCAAGAACTCTTGTTCAACCCATAAACCCACCCAACACACACACACATATACTTGTTAGCAGCATTTAGGTCAGATAACAACATCTCACAGTCTACGAGCCACGTTGCCATGAAAGCTCCCATCAAATCTGCCTGATGCTGTAAAAGCCTTGTGTGATTTGGGGCATGTAAGCCCTTGGAATCACACTGGCTTGCCAGAGCAAAGTGTGCTGTCAGAGCGTGGCGAGGTGGATGAGGCTAGATGGTCAGACTTGCTCTCTATCTCATGCATCACTTGCCATTAAGATGCTGGTTCAACCGACAGCAGCCCAATAACGAGGCCACGTTTTTTTTTGACTCTCACGCAAACTGACACGTTGAGAGGGAGCCAAGGATGATGGCTTGCTTTTAACCCACGAGGAAAAAAGAAACAGTTGCTTGCATCGATTTAAATCCACCTGTAGGAAGTGGCGACCTGTGACTGTGCATTTATAAAGGGTTCATTTCTGCAGAAACCTATGGGGGGGATGAATGGGGGGGATGAATGGGGAGGTTGCACACAGAGACTCACAGGTGATGTAATAGTCCCTCCCCTTGAGGAACTCCAGACCCCACAGGTTGGGGCTGAACTCCTGGAACTTGAAGGTGAACTTTACGTCTTGGTGGGGCTTGTCGCAGTTGAGCAGGGGCGTGTCCTTCTTGGCGATGGTGCAGGTCTCTATCTGACTTCTGGGGACCAGGTACACTCGGTAGAACTCCTCCTTTGCCCCGGAGGAAGCATCTGCCCGGGGACACACAATGTCCATCTTATCCCCGATCTGGGGGTACAGGATCAGACCCTGACTCCGAATAAATCTGTGCGTGGGGTGTAGAAACATCAGTTCCATATTATCAAGTTCAGAAAAGGCCCACACAGAAGAAACTAAGATATTACATTTTGAAGCTTGACAATTAGCCGACCACAAATTATTTTGATATTTCATTACAGCAAAAATTGATCGTGAGAATGTGTTGTTTTTCCTTGTATTCTGTGACAGTACGTTGTGTTTTTAAACGAAATAAGTAATGCAGGTGTTATAAAAAGTTCAATCAATAAATCGATCAAGAAATGAATCATGGTTTTGCATCAACAATCATTGGTGAAGAAAATATAAGCTATTTGCAGCCCTCTCAATTGACCATGAAACAAAACATTGCTTTGAGAAGATGAGGCCAGAGAATGAATGCTTCATTAAATGCTTCATTAAAGAATTCAAACGATTAATCAATTATCAGAGTTTTCTGAGAGTAACTGTTTCTCCCTCTCAGTGCCTCTTACGACCCAATACAACCACGGGCTTCAGCCAAATGATTGTTATACTGATTTAACCTCAATCAGTCTAAAAGCACAAAGCCTCAAGTATCCCCGAGCGTGCAACTGCTTGGTGCACTTACTTGGTGTTGGAGCTGCTCCAGTGGACGGACTCCAGGGTGACTGCACGACATGAGCTGGTGACGGCCAGCAGGATCACGGCGGCGCAGCTGCATGTGATTCTCCCCATAACCGGAATAAACCGCGGCTCGGTATCATAAAACAGTGTGGAAAGCGGCGGGAATGCGGTGCGTCTGCATGTCTCCGGCGGCTCCAGGCGCGCGCACAGGACACATTCCCACCAAGTTGCGAGTCGTCCCCCTGCAGCTGCAGGAGATCTTCCACATTGTGCGTAATTGGCTAGAGAAGCGTTCGTGTGACGAAATGCATGTATTGGGGACAGCGACAGAGCAGTGTTTCAGTCATCAGCTGACTGACCGGTCCGCCCACACGCCGCTCGCGCGCTGCTGTGGGGAGACCGGGGCTGCTTGGCACGGTTTGTCCTACATTAAGATAGCCCGAGATAAATATGGCATCAATTAAATGGTGGATTTGGTGGAATGCCGGGTTCGTTCTATGAATACCTTTTAGAAATGTAATGTTAAAAATGTATTCCCCAAACCCGTTTCACCCCTCAGGGCTAATAGTGCAACTTGTATTTATAACATTTATTGCTCAGCTGAATTAATGACTGTAAAGCCTGTTCAGACAACTTATTGAATTCTATAAATTGATTCATCCATTATTATTTCCCAGCGGCCTTTAATATAAATTGTGTTTAATGTGTTTGTATTGCTTTTGTATGTTTTGTCCTCCTTCTTCTTCTCAGGGAAGTGACCATTTGAGGGAATTTCAAGACTCAGAACAGATTGGTTTGATCTTGTATTTTGTGGCCTTGATGACTGACAGAAAGAGCTCTGACTCGGGATCACCATAAAGTACCAGAATATACAGACTTTAATCAGGATCAGATGTGTGCCGAGCTTCATTGTTTGTGGATCAGTGAATGTTAAATCATTATTATGAGTGTGCAGGGATTCTGTAGTTGTCATGGCTGTATCTGCTCATCTTTTAACAACAGGTTTAAAAGATTGCACAAGACTTCGTGCACCACAAATGAACTGCACAGAAATGTACAGAGTCTCTGCTGGAAACTGACTGGGCTCCGTGCAGCATCTTTCCATATTTATAATTCATTTGGTGTTTTATTTATATATTTATTTATTGGACAGGGACTGCACAGAAGAAAACCGATGAAGAGATGTTTTCTGATGTAAACACAAAATTATGCTGCTTCTACGAAACAAACTTTGGATATGCTACAACCTTTTTATTTTCTTAGTCGTTCATTTAGCAGAATTAAAGGCCAATTCAGGTGTCATTGGACAGTACGCATTTTGAGTTTTTAGTACCCATACTGAAAATACAAATATGCAAAGTGAACTTGATCACAAAACACGTCTCTGCTGGTTCTTGCTGGATTGTAATTGAGGTTGAGGTTTTTCCGTCTTTGTTTTGAATTGTTGCACTTTTAGATTAGAGCCAATTTATTCACAGTAGGTAAATTAAGCACACCAGAGGACCAATTACCACCTATTCATATAATATTGTGTGAGCCTTATCTCTTAAAAACATAGGCTTTTTATTTGTTAATAATGATACAACCTTGTGACAATGCATTTATCGTCCCTTATGTCACATGATTGCGTTAGAATTTGAGGTAAATCAATCAAAGGAACACTTTTGATTTTCAAAAGAATGCATCATTTTAAAGCCAGACGGCGGTTTTTCTTGATCTGGGTGCATAGACCTCTCCTTAAGTTTAACATATATATATAATGTGCAGAGTTGTGCTGAAAACTTTAAAAATAGACACAAGTCAATCTGCGCATGCTGAGAAGAGGTTGAATAAGCCAACAAAACTGCTGTACCTATTTTAAATCATGTTGCGAAGGTTCCAACTCAACCTTTAATGCATTAAATGAACGTCAAAGATTTGCTGAGAGCTTTAAATGTACCACTGCAGTATCTTGACATCCCCACAGAGAGCCACATGTGAGTAAGTCCACGCTCGGTTCGTTTCTGGCATCACTGCAGGCATCGTTGCTCGGCTGAATGGTGACTCCGTCGTTGATGTTTGGCTTGTTTTTTAAGTGAGATATCCCAAAGTGAAGCTAATGCTAACATGTTAGGTGTCTGATGAAGAAAAACCCCTATCACGATTAGCATTAACTTCAACCTGGGACTGGATTGGACGGCGTTTTCTTCAGGTCAGTGCAGCCTGTGTGGGAGATCCTGCAGGGGGGGACAGACACACTGATCACTGGGTGACTTGGAGACAAGATTTGAATTTGTTTCATTCACAAGTATCATTATGAATAAATTCACAAGCTGCCTGAACGTATGAAGACAAAAAAGCATCAGCTTCAACACAAAAGTGAAGTCACACATAAATCACACTTCAATAATTATAATTCATTTATGATATATATTACTTTGTATGCAGAATATTTGCAGTCCATTAACTTTTCGTATTATTTATATGTTTAGGAAGCACATTTATGAATACAGAACTTTAACTTGTAACAGAGAGTTAATGTGGTAATGTTAAGTAAAACACTTCTTCCAACATTGGGGGCACGCCATTGTTGTTTTTGTGGTAACCTAGGTAACAGTAACAACAGCAACGGTATTGGAGAATGGGAGACTAAATGAAACAACATTCTGTATGTAAACTGTCATCTTTACCTGTCACTGCCCCATCGATTGGTAAACAGAACATCATTTACCCAACTGGCCATCTGAACCACAATTTTGTCACTTATCCTCCTCATATTTTCTCTTAAACAACTTTACGGTTTGATGAGAGATAATTTGTGTGGGTCGATCCGAAACCCAACTTAACACAATGGGGATTGAGCCTGTCGCCAACAGATGAAAGTATTGTACCATTAACATATTTATAATATTACAGCCAGGTGTCCATACTGCGACATTCACAGAATCTGCGCTGTACTGCCGTGTTTTTCTCCATCGTACACACAAACATAAAACGGACGTTTACACACAATTATGAAAATGTTAAGGTTTTTCAAAAGATTCTCCTTACGGTGAGAAGACTCTTGTGAGATTGAAGAGTTTAAATCAGGTATACATGAACGAGCGTTCACAGAGACCTAAACGGTCTAGGTGTGACGAGGCAGCTGCAAGTAACCGTAAAGCTTTGTTTCCGTTATCGCCCTCCAGAGAAGCCATGAGCTCTAGCAGGATGTAGCAGGTGTGGTTGTATTTTGATTCTGGTTTAGAAGATACTAATGTGAGATGAGATGTTGCCAGTAAGTAATTGTGTCTGTGTGTTTGTTGTAATGGTAGTTGGGTAGTTACTGACCGCTCTCCACTTCCTCTTTCAGCAACGGGTGTCCCTCTCCATCTTCTTTCCTGAGTGCCTCTCGCTCTCTCGCTCTCTCTCTCTCTCTCTCCCTACCTCTCTCTTTCTCTTTCTCTCTTCTGTCTGCTCTCCACCTTCTGTATTTGCTTTTTATACACTCGCGTGTGACTCATATGAAATCCCCCATCTAACAGAGAGACGATGAAAAATGACACATTTTTCAATAAAAATCCATTTATCATTTATGTAAATGTTTTGCCTACAGAAGAGAAAATGAATCTATGCTTGACACATTATTTTGAGTCACTTGATATGTTGAAATATGCAACACGTCAATGACATGTCTAAAAAACTAAATCGCTTCAAACTTATTAAATTAACTCAATGTGATATTTAAAGAGATTTAACAAAGATTGATTAAGTAAAAGGGCATCTGAAGTTCAATTTAATGTGTGTGCATTTCAATTATAACTACATTACATGTTTACCTCAATCAAGAGAATGGATGGATACATGAAGAAACAAAACCGTATTAATTGTAAAATCATTTTGGTTTGAGTTTATTCCAAACGAAGTCCCTTTTCCAGTGTAGAAACTAAAAACCTGCTACAGGCAAACCAGAAACACTTTGAAACTGCACTTCATACACTGGTAGAAGTTAAACGTTGCCAACAACACTCTAACATGATGCGATTAGAGGTCCCATAGTGTAAAAGATAATTGTCATTTGTTATAAAGCGGGTCAATGCTAAATAGATACTGAAGAAGTTTTGAAATACGTACATATTAAAAATTGGGGCCTTCAGGATTTCCATGCAGTTATGAGGTCACATGTGCATACACCACTTCATGGTTTTAAGCGACACGCGCTCATTGTGTTATTTCTGGTTACAGTGTGTGAATGACATCAACTGACAGGAAGGAAACATGGACCCCAGCGGTTGCATGGCAACGGATTTCTGTTGAAACAACCTTAAAAGGTGTGTTTCACACAGCCAACGATCGCAGAAGTTATTCAGTTAGACAGTATGAAAAAAATAATCTTTTTTTTATCAAGGCATGTAAACATGTTCTTGAACAAACAGTTGTAAATGAGCACAGTCTGTCTTGTTTAAAATAATATTTTACCCACAAATGAGCCTAAATAGGTCAATGGTGGTCAGCTGAACTATGTCAGAAATAAAGTCTTTTACTTGCGTGGACTCGAACACAGGAGACATTATAGTGGAGGAAGGGTTTTAGTAAATTTTTAGCAAAGAGTGTTTGGGCAGCATTGAACGCGGATGAATGAGACTATGATACTCCTCAAATTGGGTTACAGTTAGTAAACGGATATTTTGATTTTTTTCTTATTATTTTCTCTATCTTTGTTTGTTAATTCAATTAAATTTATTTGTAGAGCCTAAAAATGCGACCACAACTTTGTTCAAGAGGGTTTTACAATCTGTACAGCATTCAACATCTTCTGCCTCAGATATCAGTGAAGGAAGAATCCCCCCCAAATAACGTTTACAGGAAACAAAAGGACAAAAAGGGCAGTAAGGGAACGGAGAAGGGACCCCTCTTCCAGGATGTCCACGTGTGGTAGATGTTGTGGGTACAGGAGTTATTCAAATTACAAGATTTACCTGTTTTTAATATGGGAAAAGCCTAAGAATCACCAAAATCCTTAGGTTTCATTTGTTAAAACAATACGGTTTGATTTCTGAGCACTGTAACAGACTTTCTCTGTGCGACCATTTCATTGAAGTCATAGTCATATATTCAACATACAGCCCCATTTCTCACCTAGCCACCTGTACAATCCATGGACATTATGAGTGTGCAGGGTCGTGAGATGAAGTGGAGGTCTGTTTGACAGTTAGCGGCTTGTTACTGGTGGGGATTTTGACAGCGACCCCTTTTCGCCTAAATGACTGTGATCCTGCAAACTTTCCTGGTTACCATGAACTGGCCCAGAATGATCACTGCCCGTAGTGTTTGTGGTTGTGGTAACCCGGTAACCAAGTCATATTGCTCTGTTTCTGAGAAGACAAGGTGCCTCCCCAATCCATTCTCACTATCTGTTCGTCCCCTCCCGCTCTGCTCCAGAGCTTCACGCAACCCTCCTGTCTCACACTCGCAGGGTGGACGTGTGCCGCCGAGGCCACGTCGCATTCCCCTGGGTGTGTTGACGAGGGGACACGTTCGAGAAGACACATCGGCGGGGAAGTGGGTGAAGGGAAAGGGCTGAAAGTACATGAAGAGGCGGGGGAAGAAGCGACGCTGTGGCGGGGACCCTCCCGTTCACCGGTGGAAATTACACAACGTGTAATGAGCCAGCTGAGGAGGCTTCAGGACAGGCCTCACTTCTTCTGTCTGGCGTCACGTCTCCTAAGCATTGACGGAGGAAGTTGCTTCTAATTTTCCCCTTTCACGAAAAAAAAAAGAAGACGATCAGAGAAACTGATATCACATGAAAACGTGTGTCGAGATAAAGAAAGAGAGGAAGTGACGTCAAATTCAGATGTTAAGGGGAAAAGCAGATCAGTCGCATCGATATCCCTGACTTACTTTCAATTATTTCTCTGGAGTGGTGGAAACGAGAAACAAAAGCCAGGGTGAAAGTTTGTGTATTAGAGCGATTATATGAGAGGCAGCGCTCTGCGTCGGTGTTTCCACGTGGGCAAACCGCGCTCTGTTTTCCTGTCGTGTGCGGTATCTGCATGAGAGGCCCCAACAGACGTACAACTCGTGTCATGACATTTCCAGCTCTCTCTCTCTGTCGTCATCTCGTCTCCGTGTCAGGTTATCGTCATGTCATCAACGACATGGGTTGAAGACCAGAAACAGCTGCTGCTTTTACTCCAAAATCTAATGAAACGTCTGTTGAACATTGTGAAAATGAGACGAAGGCAACAAAGCGCAGAGTTGAGTCGTTTTCTTCTTTGCAACATACCAAAACTGTTCGGTTTCCCCGATCAAAACCACGAGAGCTAAACTTAGCAGGTTTATAGGAAGTGTGGGTGAGCTTGAGAGGGGGAAAGACCGTCGCTGGTTCAATTCCACAAACTATTTTGAATATACGCACAATTCTTAGTTTCATTGGTTATTATTCAATGAAATATAAGGGGCAGTCGCCCGCAGAGCTAAATGTCACTTTCTTTTCAAAGTGTATTTTAAAACGTTAGTTTTTCAGAAAATGCAAGTATTATAAATGTTAGACATAATACATGTATGTGTGTAAATACTGTTAATAATTATGTTATTTTTCAATGCTTCCGAATTAAAAACATTGCAGAGCAATTATAAACTTTGACATCGTGGATATTAGTTGACGTGGCCACATTTCCGCCACAAACTTTGGTTTTCCTTTTAGTGGCTGCCAACCATCAGAAACTAACCGGGACAAAGGGGACACTATTCAAAATAAACAAATCTAAAAGTGGCCATTTACGAACTTTCTTTAAAGGATGTATATTTATAACCTCAATTTTCTGTTGTTACTGTTTCTGTCTGTCATTATTTTAGTTAAGTAGTACGCTGAACAGTGTGTATCATTAATGGGGATCTAAAAAAAGGGAAAATATGGAACACAAAGCATGTTATCTTTAAAGAAAAGAAAGGTGTTATGGTTACATTGGAATGAGTCGTTTGTGCCAACATACGGAGGTCTTCTTCCTTCCTTCGGAGTCGGCGGCCATGTTTCTACAGTAGCCCAGAAGGGACAAACCGACAGCCATTCACACACTGGGTTGAAATCTACAACCTCAGCGCGAAATGCTGCCACACATTTAAGTACAGTTTGATTTACTTCATTCAATCATTTACATTTCGTTCTACTCTACTACATAGAGGAGGCAATACTGTACCTTTTCATCCACTACATGTACTTGATAACTTTGGTTATTTGTTACGTTAGAGATCGAACAATCAATAAAAACATTGAACTCAGCGAATAATTAATTATATATAATCATAGGTCAATACATACAGCAGTGTATTTGAAAGCTCCCATATCTATTGAAACATTAAAGTATTGGACACATTTTTCATTCATTAACTATAAATTGGGGATTTAATACATACAATTCTGGAATGGGTCATTCTGAATTAATACCATACTTTTGGTACTTTTATTATATTTTGATGGCTCTGCTTTTCCTTTTTAGCTTTAATCCTACAAACCCCATCTGGCACCGAAAGGACAAAAGATGTAATTGTTTGGAGAATGAGCAACACTGCTCTCTACCGGGGAAGGTCCTCTACTGCAGCTCGATTAGAAAGAAAACGCGCTGTGGCTTCAAGTCTCGACGGGGAAGTCAGTTGTGCTCTAAGCAAACGCTGATACACAAGCTTACCTTTTCATTCAGTGTGGCACTATGAAGGACTTTTATTTCAAACAAATTCCACAATACGGCCAAGAGTACCAATGGCTTGATCCTAACAAGTTTTATCTGACCAACACATCAGAGTCAAACTGTGGTACTGACCTTTATCCCCTTAAAAATGGCCTCTGTGATTTGTTTTGAGTCAATCGCCGGTTAAGTAAAGCAACAAATCTGTATTAAAATAGTCTCTTTTTTTTGAGTAACATTTCTTCAAACGACAGTGGAGCAATTGAAATTGTTATTGTTGTTGTTGTTGTGTTTTTTTTGGCAGTCTTGTGATATGAAATTACAAATACATAAGGCCAAATGTGGTGAACTCAAAGCAACGTTTCAGTTAGAAGAATTTTACTCAACACCGGTGTGAAATCATTTGAACAGGACATTTGCTAAATGCTTGCAAGCATGAAGCAGAGTTGAAACACACACAAGTCATGATTCATGCCTAAGATGCTTCCTAGTCTTAGATGTCACAATCCGTGACCCCTGCTTCCGATGGGGGGTTGCTGAATCAGCTTACAATAGTCACCATTGTAACAAATACGCTTTGTAAAATGATTACATATATATTTATATATCCACATCCAAAGTTGGCTGCACTATCAGTACAATGCCAACATTTAGGCTCCCTCATGTGGTTCAAAGATTTACTGCAGATTTAAATGTTAAATAAGAGACCATAGAAGAAAGCGTATTTTCCCCCTCCGTCTTCAATCTAATTAAAGTAGAAAGCCAAAATCCTTTGAAGAGTTCTAACTAAAAAAGCGTTAAAGGACTGCATTTGAGAGCATAAATGTGCACCTCTGAAGAGAGCGCACTGATTAGGCTGTCCTTGTGAATGGAACCTCACACAACTCACACAAAAAATAAAAGCAAACAATATTTTATAAGTGTAATGCGTAAAAGTTATGCATCTGAGGCTAACGTTCACTCAATCCAAGCTGGTTTATATCAACTTTTGTTAGAAATCAAAACGTATGTTTTCATTTCCATAGATATGTACAAAGGAACAAGTGTGTGTTGCAATCTCACACAGGAAAGAGAGAGAGAGGGACAAGAGAGAGAAAGAGAGAGAGAGAGAGAGAGAGTATAACAGCAAGTGGCCGCTCCTTCTTTCTTTATCGCCTGCTCCATTTCTCCCACACACAAGCCAAATAAAGCAGGTAAGAGGGAACCGCTTTAAATTTACATGCAAATAATGTCAAAAATAAAAGAAGCTTTTTAACACGGACTTTAAGCGCAGATAGATCTTGACTCCTAAACGTCTGGTTCAGTGGAGTCTCTAGAAGTGGTTGTGCGCGGAATCAGGAGCCACAGCGGCTTCAGGTAACTTTGGCGCAGTTTGTCGGCGGCGCTGCTGTTTAGAGGCCGAAGGAGAGCATTCATGCACGCCGTCCTCGTTCCAGCTGCACGCCAACCGCTCGGTCCACATGTACAATCAGGCAGGGCCCCCGATGGGCCTGGGGCCCGCAGGAGATAAGACCGGATTCCTTTCTCCGTCTTTAGTGACGGCTTAAGCAACACCTGACACGCGTCCTGTAATCTGGGTAGCGTGCGTGCGCTTGTAAAAATACTGGTTGTTTGTATGAAGATATGGCGAAAATCTTCAGAGGTTCACTCATTTGGGGAGAAGAATCTGGTTCTTCAAATGTTACTGGTTTGGGAGTAAACCTGTGGCGGTTGCGGTTGACGAAAGTCGCTGGCAACTCATCATAAGAGATCAAAAACAAATGTGCTTGGAGGCGAGGAAGAGATTAGACATGAATTGCTGTGCTCGATTCATTTAGTGTTGAACTAATAGACACAATATTGGATGCAACACTGAATATTTCTAGTCAGGAAACCAAGCTGTGCAAAAGTAAGGAAGGAAGTGTGTGGTGACATGTATGTGATGTGGCCATCAGCCAGTCAAAATGTGAAATTCATATTCAGTGTTCCACATCTTCCATGTTTGTCAAAGGTGAAATGGATTTAAAAAAAAAAAGAAGAGAAAATCCTTTTGGGATGTTTTTGATTGTCTCGTCCAAAAAAATGACCCTTTGACATAAATGTGTGTTTCAGCTCCTCACCTCAATGGCCGATATGAATGGCACAAAGTCTCCAGTCAACTTGCTTCCAACCAGCGCGAGCAACCCCAACGCCACCTGGGAGCAGGACGCAGCCCGGGGAGTCCAAATGGCCTTTACTTTGCTCATCTTCCTGGTGAGAAATCATCTTTAAACATTGTACGTATAGAAATATCGCAAGGGGATTTGCGTAATGAACCGGACCTGATGATAGTTGGGATCATCTATTGAAAAAACAACGTTGTTGGGCACAAGCTGGAACTCCAGCTGGAACTGAGCTGTTGTGGTGGTGATGAGTTGCTCATGCAAGTGTCTCATGTCTGTACTATAAATGTAGGCAGAGGGAAACGGGGGAAAAGGTGCCTTGTTTATTTACAGGCGTTGTGTCTATTTATTGGTCGCCGCCAGGGCTGTAGTGGAGGGTAAACGCACGTAAACGCCGTTTACGCACCTCTAGAATTTGGAAATAGCGCTTACGGCCCTATAAATAGCGTTTACGCACCTCTAAGTGGCGTTTACGCACCTCAAATAATCCGAAATAAACTTGGTGTAATTTTAAAACAGCTAAGACTACGTTTCCTATTGTTGAACATATAAACGCCGTAGTCTGAATCCTTTTCATCTGCGCTGTATTACGGTCTGTGAGCATCCAATCAGTGCCTTGCGGCTGCAGCAGCGACACCAATCAGGATCCAGGAGGTGTGTAAACACATACACGCTGTGGATCAGCCCAGTGGTCCCCAACCTTTCTTACCTCACGGACCGGTTTCATGTCAGACAATATTTCGCGCTCTGTGTTCCCTGGTCGTGCACGGTAAAAGAAAAACGCCTGGTGACGCGTAGATTAGAAGACAAGTCAGTTCTCAATGTGAAAAAAAACATGCTGTATAGGCTATAGGTTAGTACATGAGTGTTCCTTTAACTTATGTTGTCAGTGTAATTGACAGGCTGCTTAACTGGTTAACTCTTAAATTCAACATATTTTTTCAGTCAGTGAGAGGACAGGCAATGATGCAGAGAGCACAGGGAGAGGAGAAACACCAGGTCCAATAGAGAGAGAAGCACAGAGGGGCCATGGCTCATGGTTCATGGCTCCTCTGTGCAAGGCAGGACCTGACGTGGAGGACAAGGAGGCCCTCTGGGCACTACTGTAAAAAGGAGACTCCATATGTAGATAGTTCTTAATCTGCAATTGTTGTGTTGTGTTGACATACTTTTCTTTACTGTTTTCTTAAATTTAATGAACTACAAACTACTAACACATTTATTCATTGTCATTGATTGTATATGACTTTTACTGATAACATAATGCAATATAGCCAGGACAGCCTTACAGAGTCGCAACGCTTTGTGTTGCGTTGCTTCGCATCGCGTCGAGGTCTGTTTGATCACACAATTCAGAGTTTACCCACCTCTAATTTTACCACTACAGCACTGGTCGCCGCCAATACGCAATGCAGCGCACAACCACTCGAAAAACCACAACTTCTCAGTTTCTCATGTTGTCTATAATAGCAACATACACCGTCTTAACTAGTTTAGCGTTGATGTGTTTTCCTTTGGACCGAGCTCACTGTGTCCTCGTATCTCTTCGGCCGTGCTGAGCTAATTGGCCACCATCTTTCCGAGTGTGTTTTCCCTAAAATGTGCATTTGCCCCAAACGCCTGCCATGCTGAATGTCCTGGGTTCTCTCGGTCTCTCGAGGTCGGCGTATCCCTGAACGGGCTGGTGGTTTGGGCTCTCGGACTGCGCCACAACCGCTACCTGATGCGCAGAGGCAGCGGCGGGGAGACGCGCGCCGCCAGCAGCTTCCGCATCTACGTCCTGAACCTGGCCCTGGCCGACCTGGTGCTGCTGGTGCGCACCCCCCTGATGTTGGGATACCTGGCCAACAGAAACAGCTGGCCCTTCGGAACCGTCATGTGCCACCTGACCATGTTCCTGCGCGTGCTGGGGCTGTACGCCTCCGCCTTCCTCATCTGCGCCGTGGCCCTGGAGCGCTGCCTGTGTCTGCTGAGGCCCGTGTGGGCTCGCCTGCGACGCCCCCCCTGGGCCGTCCCCCTGGCCTGCGGCGTCTTGTGGCTGATGGCCACCGTCTTCTCCGCGCCGTACCTGTACCACGCCACCCTGGTCAACGCGACGGGCTTGCAGTGCAAGGAGAGCGGCACGTTTAACATCGGGCTGGTCGTGACGGAGACGGTGGCGGGGTTCATCTTGCCCCTGCTGGTGTTCTTGGGCAGCAACGTGGCCGTGTTGCTCACCATCAGGAACGCGGTGCCGCTGACGCCCACCTCCTCGGGCCCTTCCACGGGCCGCAGGATGACCCGGATGTACCACTTGATGTTCCTCACCATGCTCCTCTTCCTCGCCTTCTGGGTGCCGTATTTCGTGTGTCGGTTCCTGGTGGCTGTGGCTCAGGGACAACCAGGCCGGCAAGCGCTGTCTGTAGGAGCATTTAAAGGCACTTACATTTCTCTGTACCTGGTGTACGTCAAGTGTGCTCTGAACCCGGTGCTGTATGTGTTTGCGGCGCGAGGATTAGGCCACGCGATCAGGGCTTCACTCGTCTCCACTATTGAGAAACTCTTCAACGACGACTCGTCAGAGTCCATACGGAGGAAGTCCCTCAAGAACTCTCTGAAAAACTCACAAATATAATTCAGAGAAAAAAAAAGGTTACGCAAGTAACTACGGTTCTATGAATTCCTGTAAAAAAACAAAAAACAGAAATGCCTAGAACCATTTTTGAAAGAATGTGAAATCTCTTAAATATAACTTTTAGCTGGTTCATCCATTTGCTCGTATTTGCCCAAAAAGTGAGCTGCGTTCATAAAACAGGCAGACTTGAGTTACTGCAAAGCAAAGTTTATGCTTGAGTGTCTTCCAAATGTGTCAAAAAGCAGCTGCAAATTGACAAATAGTGGGAATATGCTCACATCATGTACACATGTATATATATATATATATATATATATATATATATATATATATATATATATATATATATGGGGATCCTCTACATTAAAAGGGTCGATTCCAGACTTGCTGGCCGGGCTGATGGCGGCGCTGGGTCGTTCACAGACAATCTCATGGCAAGTGAAAAGTACGACACAACAGTGCACGAGGAGGAACCCTCAACTGGGTTCGGTTGCTCTACGGTCAGCGGAGATGAATGGATGCAACCGTCGGTGAAACTACATGATCAGAGATGTGGGGAATGCGGCTTCTGTTGCAACGCGCTAAATTAGGCCGGCACATACTTGGGCAGCGGAGTGAATTCATGAATCATCGTGTCTGTTGCCTAATGAGCGAGGAACGCCCTCATGGTAATCCTGCCGATGCCAGTCTCCTGTACCTGCAGTAACCTTGTTCTACCAAGCTCATGCGTTGAAAAGCCTTCACGCACGAACTCTGCCATGTTCCGAGGGAACGGGATACCGAATTTATTTCTTCCGCCTGGTTCTGGTTGTAACTCATGTTAATGGCCGTATGTGTCGTAGAGCACAGGATGCTGAGGAGGAAGTATATGTTGCAGGTTTGTGGTTAATGACAGAAAACCTGTTCTACCTTTTTTTCTTTTTTTTCGTTCAACATTAAAACATAAGTGACCAAAGGTCAGCGTCTTTAAGAGGCATCGGTTTAAGGACATCGGATTGCCGATTTTACTTGTCATCTGCAGCCACACGCGTCTTCATGATCCAGCAGAGAACAAGTTCAATGATTAACGACCACAATCTTTATTTGCAAGTACAGTATTTCTTTAATGAAGTGTATGTATTTAGGCTCCTCTAACGAGTAGTCTGCTCTCTGAAGCGGACAGGGAGTTTACCTGAAACGAGCTAAAGGCAGGGTGTGATCACAGGTACAGTATGATAAGATACCATTAGGACATGTAAACATGTTCTAGTAAGACCCAGAATGCAGGAGTGAACTTGCAAATGGGCATGATACGACTCCTTGGAAGAGAGTTGATCATTTGTCTCGTTAAATAATTATTGCTTGAGTTGCTGTCTGCTCTAGTACTATTGCTGCTGCTGTTACAACCAAACGTGAGACTTTTCTTTATTTCTTCACATGGGGGCTACAATTTCCAGGGGTTTAAGTTGTATTATTGCAAGTTTTCCACAACCACACAAAGGTGGAAATGTGCAATATTAAGACTTTTCCTTAAAATGCCAAGTGAAGTTTGCACATTTCTTCAGTCACATTCCTTTAAAAACACACACACACTTTCAGACCAGTGTGAGCACGGCTTTGGGGGCATTTAAGTCAGAGCAAGGTGCAGCAGCGGTCGTGGTGAAGCCGGGGTTGAAGAGCTGATCGGCGTGTTTGTGTGCCTGCAGGAGCAGCGCCTGTGCGGCCCGATCGGCCCCGGGTGTCTGCAGGATTTCTCCCAGTTTCCGGGCGGTGGTCTCAGACTCGCTCTCTGGGATAATTCTTCTCAATCGGGCCTGTGGAAAAAAGTTGTAAAAAATTAAGCACTGCCACTACGTGTTTTGTCAAATGTTTTTTAAACCTTAAAAACAGGATCAACAAGATCAAACGAGACAACACAGAACACCAGATGTCACATAGTTTCTCGGCCTTTCGTAATACGTATCTACAATTATTTTCACAACTTCACAGAACATGTTCAGACTGTTGGGTAACATTTCCGAGGAAGCGCTAGCACAGACATTTTACCACATCTTATTCACAAAAAAAAGAAAGACGGAACAACACGAACGCTTGCAAAAACAGCTGTCAGAAGTTTTGAAATCGCCCACCTCTAATGTTGTTCCATCGGGTTGTGGCAGAAGCCGGGGAAGATTGAGATCTGCTTGTTCAGCTATCCGTAAAATCTATGTTTGCACAGGCACGAAGGACAGCAGGAGTAAGACATTATGGCCTGTTGGTCATCAGCTAATAGATTATGTAAACGTACAGCAAGAATGCTGCAAATCTCTGCTTCCGGTTTACAGCTCAGACCTATTTAATGCAGAATGCAATACATTACATCGGCCCCCACATCAGTCCGATTTTTTTTCAGCATGCTGCTGAAATGAGTCACTGGGTGGAGACTGTGGTAAAAGAACGCATTGGTGTGAGCTGATAAAGATCACATGAAACGCGATAATAAAAAAGCTACGTTGTTAAAATCATTTAACAAGAATCCTTCCGACAAAGCACCTCCCCTTCAAACTGATTCCAAAACCTATACATTTACACCGCGTGAATGAGACCAGCATTCCAATAGAGATCAGGTGTTTCATGCCTGCAAATTAAAACATAAACTTAAATAGCCGTTCACAAGAATATCCGAAAAGACAAGAAGCTCATTTAAACTAATCAACATCATCAGCTACGGAATATAAGCTACGCCCCATACATTAAAATACTTGTGGTTTATTTCCCAACGTTGGCATGTTTTGCACCTCTTTAGCGAACTCCTCCTCCACCTGCTTCCTCAGCTCACTGCACGAGTGCCGCAAAGAGACGTTCTGCTTGTCTGTCGTCTCCAGAGCACGGACCACCGACCTCAAGTCCTCCTGAAGACCCAGAGAGGAACACAAAAAGTAACACAGTAACAGACACCTCCGCAATGCCTGAAGAAGATTTCATCAAGGTATCATTAGTGGTTTACGAACACGTTACACACGTCGCATATAAGCAACGGAAGAGGTGAAGGAATTGGCCTCTTCGGACTAGATTTGTTTTTACCTCCAGAGAGCTCAGACTTGTCTTTCCCACCAGCAACTTCTTAGCTTCCTCCTGGTGCCGTTGAGATGATTGCTCGGAATCAGCTTTTTTTTGCAATGGAACTTTGAGTTCTGAACATTGAGCAAGAAACCTAAAAATATATAACAGCAAGGAAAAAACAAACTCATTGAATTATGATCGGATGATATATTAAAGTCATATGTTGTATTGCTCCTATTCTTTAAATGTTAATGGAGCCGTAAATTATATATATATATATATATATATATATACATACATACACACACACACACACACACACAGTACATATCAACTTCTGACTCACCTGGTTTTCATTATGTTGAGATGTTCCTGGCTCCCTTTCTTCTCTTTCTGCCTCAAAGCAAGCGTTGCTCTGGGGAAAAAAACAAAAACGAAGTGTCTTTAAAAAGTCTATTTTCCACTATTATTTAATGCATGCAGCAATTGGCTGGTCCGAGTACAATCATGTCTGTCGACCCATAGCAGAATATGAGGGCGATGACTAAATCAATATTTGGCTAATCTGCCGTTTGATGAACATTATGTTTAGTGACTAATCTAGTTGGCATTTGGGTACAACAATCTCTCCATCAATCAATCATTACCGACATATCTGCCATAAGAAGCGGTTTATCACTCGTGCTCTTGGTAAAATAAGTAGGCGTGTGAGACCAGACACTCTAGAATCTAGAATCTAATGCATTCCTGCGTGACTGCTCTTCCACAGACAAAGCTTTTGGAAAGCAAAATATTATCTCTCTTTCAGTTATTCACCTGACACAGCAAATAAGACCCACCATTGTATTAAATGAAATTAGGAAAACACTTTTTGTAACAACAATGAGTGCTTAGGTTCAAATCAACGGGGAAACTCACAGTATTGACAAGTCCATGATGTTCTCCAGCGCAACGACGGAGGATACTGGCATCAGCTTCCACTTTTCCTCCTTTTTGACTTTTTGGGGGACCGAAGATGCGCCTCCAGCTTGGTGAGGACACAAATAAGAGCGACGCAAAATAACAACATTGCGGTTGGTTTGCGGTGTGTTGAGCTGTTATACCTGCAGGGTGTCACATGCATACACTTGAATATAAATGCCAGTGTGCTTGGGGGGGTTCCTCTAACCTTTCCTCTTGCGGGCGGGGTTCGGGTGGGCGCCGCGGTTGCGTTCACTGACCTGCGGGTCCTGTCCGTCAAACATCGGCAGTGAGTGAAGCAGCGCGAGGGAACCTGACCAGCTGGTCGATGTTGTCTGTGACTTACCTGATGCTCAGGTGTTTGAGGCACCATCGTCTGGTCGGTTTTCTTCTTGGGTTTCAAGTTAGGTGCCTGTGACGAGGCCCGGTTCGAACCTCTCGCGGGCTTCATGGCTGCAGACGTCAGCTAGCGTCAAGTTATCTTAAGGCAAATGAACGTGACTCAATGTGACGACACAAGCTAAACTAAGGCAACGTTAGCTTACGCGCTAACCGAGCCAACGCTAAAGAAACGGTAATTAACAGAGACGGCTTTCTGGTTCAAACTAAGACCGCCCGCTAAATTAACGAATCAGGAATACAATTGCAAAGTATACGAGTTTTTGTCAACAGCCGAGCTGCTTTTTCGCGCTGCTGTTTTTGAACGAGCCCATTCAACGCGCATGCGCAGGGAAACTTTTTAATCCCGGGGTTATGCTCGGCAGGCAGCTGATGAGCTCTGCACAAACCACACCGGGCTTCTTATTGACAACTTTATCAAACACTTTAATCCCTCGGAAAAAAGTCCCCAAAAATAACATAGTATTCGATGGATACCTCCTCCAAAGGTCACGTCAACAATGCTACCTATTAGCCCGAACTCCGGGTATAGTCGACTGATAGCAAAGAGAATCAGATCATTCATTTAATGGATATCTGGAAACATGCAGCAGGACATTTGGGTTTCTGTGTTCAGGGTATATATTGGCTGGTGAAAACAGCTTGGTTGTCATTTAGTTTCTGGCCCACGTACGGGTGCAAATGAAATTGTTGAAGTTGACAAACACAAAAGGGCCACTAAAGATGTATTTATTAGGGGAATTGTGATACTTATTTCAACAGCATTAGCAAATACACCTCCAGTAAAAACAGGTTTATTGCAACACGTGAGAGAATCTGTGATACATTTTTCACTTCCTTTTTACTTTTTTGTAGCCAATTAGAAATAGACCGTTTAATCCAACAATGTGACACTCTGTGACCATGTGATAATGAAATACAGTATCTAGTTTATTGGGGGTTTTTGATGAAAAAAAGAAATCTCCCTGACAAAGTAATATCTCACAAATATGTTTGCATATGAAATAAAAATGAAATAAAATTCCCGGCATGGCTATTTATTTGGGTTGCTTCTTCCACATGGTGGTCCTGTTTCAGTGGGACACTGTCCATTTCTGTCCCTCAGGTCCATCACACCCTCCATGGGAGGTGAAATTTGCCAGTGAAGCAGCCATGGCTGCGCAGGTCGAAGGGGCTGAGCACCTTCCTGATACCCAGCATGTTGCCCAGTGCGATCTCCCTGAAGGTCCAGGGATTCTGGTTGTTCTGCTCCATCTCAACATGCTTCTTTTGTAGGGCCGCTAAGCTCTCTCTGGTCATCACCTGGAGGAAGAACACAGTGCAGGGAATTATTGGGCCATTCTTTGGTCATTTAACCCTCTAAAAAGGATCTTTGGCAGTAAAGTCCTTCTCAACTCAAAGAAAATTGGTTTTGCTTGATACTGTCATGTGTTTTTGTTCAAGAGGCAGTGTAGAGAGGTGTTTCTGTTATTACAGTACCACAAACTGCAGCTTCAGAAATGACCAACAAGTTGAATCAACACGTCTCTAAAAACAGTATGAATATTACGGACTGCACTGATCTAGGATGTTTTGAAGGACTGTATTAGACTGCAGCAAGTTGTGCCTGATGAACTGAAAATGAAGTCTATTCAAACAAATAAATAACCAAACCTTCGACAAATATACTGAAACTTAACTACCTAAAATGATTTAAGTGTATGTTAGACATTAATATCAGTCATCTCACCTTGGCAGGGAAGGGGAGCTTCTTTGCCACTTCAATCAAGATTGGCTCAACCTCCCCGAGCTCCACCTTTCCTCCCACTTCCACAATTAATCGACCGTAGCGGATGGGTGTCACATAGTGGTCGATGGCTCCCTTGCCCCCACCCATGCGCTGACCCAGACCTTTGCGCGTGATGGGCTTATACGGGCCATTGATGCGCCAGCGTGCAAATGTGGTCCGGGAATCCATCTTGCGGTTGACGGTTAGACGGATCATCTCTATGTGGCCCCAGTGAAGGTAGCCCCCTCCCATGGCCTGAGTATTAGAAAGAAAGACAGAGATAGAGAAAAGTCCCTTGAGATGTTTCTACAGACTCTGATGCTTCCAGATGTCACTAAAGTGTTTACAGAACAAATATGTACTGACCACAATAGCGTACTTTCCTGTCGTGAAGGTATTTGCTGCCTTTGCTGGACCTTGAATATCCCGAAGCTTCTTCATCTCTTTCTTTGCTTTCTTAAAGTTGGGAACCTTGTTCATGAACTTCAATTTAGGCTTCTCTGGCAGCACCACATCTTCAGAAACAAGAGTATGGAATCATGAACATGGACATACATCATCATCATGCAAACAAGTCTACTCGAATAAAGCCTAGGAAACTGTGTGTTTTCCCCCACATCCACCGCATGTACTGTGTTTGTATAAAAACGAAGAGGCAGGAGACAATGAATGATTACCGCTGTAGTCTGGTGGCATTTCGAGTGTCTTCAGTCCTGCAAACAGGACTTTCAAGTGGCTGTTTAGGGGACCTGTGGAACAAACAGAAGAATCAACATCGGTCATGTAAACCTGCTAAAATCACACTACTGCGTTTTAATGCATGAGAAATGAAATGGAACAGATGCATCTTCAAGAGTCATTGTCGGATATTATCAGTTTAAATGAGCCAACTTAAAGTTAGTGGCATTGTTGACGCGTGACGTCATTGTACGTCACCGCTAGCTACTCGGCGTTACCTTGCTGGTGACCGTGTGCTCGACAGACGCCTCCCAATCCACCGACTGCGACCTTGATGAAGGAAAACATGTTATCGCTGAGAAGGACACTATAAACACCGAACGGCCACTTCGTACGTGCGAATTACGCCGGCATTTTACGATGGCAAACTAACGAAACTGTTGTGGACAGCATGCCCTGTACAAGGTCGCTGCCGTTACCGAGCTGCTACCACGACTTCCGGCAAGTCACTTCCTGTGAGTGTGTGGTCTTTCACAATAAAAGTATCTTTATGAACAGATGTGCAGGCTGCCACCAAAAAGTTGTATTTACTAAATGCATCAAGTGTATAGAACTGTGTTGAGAGAATTATTAGCGAATTATTCGTTTTCCAATTTGCTTTCTGGCCCAGAGAAAGGGTTACTTTTATTATAATTATATTTTACAAATAATCAATAATACTTTTCATTTAAGGAATGTGATTTGAGTCAGAGGCCTGGGGTTCAAGAGGTTCACACAATAGTTTTAGAAGTTGTGTAAAAAAACATACAAAATGTCTTCTTGCACATGAAGGTCACTTTAATCTTCTGCCCCGCCACCTCATTCTATTCAACCTATCTGCAGCCCGGTCGTGTTTTTACTAACATCCATGATTATTATTCGATCCACATTTAGAAATGAGTTAGTTGTAAGGAATCCTAAAAGGTAAGTTTATTGTCAAGTTCTAATATAAGATAAGAAAAAAAGAGCCATGCAAAAACAGATATTGGGAAATGTGAAATTGAGACACTTGAGATGATATAGTTTCACGTTTATTAAAATGGGACGGATTTACAGTTTGTACACCATCCACATTGGCATTGATTTAGAAAGAAACAAACAAGTACAAATGCAGTATATACATACTAGTATACATGTTATAAAATACAATAGTATTTTTTTTACACAAATGTAATGTTTTAAATTATTTAAAGTCATGGTTAGGAGGCCTTTCAAGCAAGCTACACTAAAACTGTTGATTTGTGCATAAGATGTGAATTCCCACATGAGTCAAGTCAACAGAATCTACAACATTCAGATCTCCATGTTAGAAAAATAGTCCCACGTTTGTTCCCACAGAGATGTGTTGCAATTACAGAAGGCAAGCATAGATATCACCAGCATCAGGGAAACAAACAAACAGCAGTATAATGGTTGAACAAATATAAACAAGTTCAAACTAAACAACTGAGACATAATTCTGTTATGTTTTTATTTTTTCTACTCAGAAAACGGCAAAATCTAGTCAATGGAGGCTTGATTTTGCAGATACAACCTCTTTTTCCCCCCACCAGAACAGATTTAAGTGAATATCTTGTTTGTAGCGTGTGAAGAGAAAGATTCAATTCTACCATCTGCTGATCAAAATAAATCCGAGTGAGCATCTTCAGCAAGAAGCTGACAGTAGCACATCTCTAGGATGAGAGACAGGAGTGTATGCCAGAAAGGATTTAAGCAGCGTTACATAACCATGTTTAGTTTTCCCATTTCTGTCATAAATTATCTTTAGCAAAGTTCCCCCCCCCCCCAGCACACATTTAGGGATATGTCCCTGATTGTTAGAGGTTACCACACAATTGCTGCACTTTGTAAAGCTACTCATACCAGACTTTTGAAAAGCACTAAAGAACAAACTTGTGGTCCGTCAATTTAAGGAGTTCTACATGAGATAACACATTTTTGAGAATGATGTCATGATGTAGGAATTAAAGATAACACTCTGGCAGTTATGAGAGCTAAGGTGTTGTTCTTGGTAACTCCAATGATTAAAAAAGGAAGGAGTTTGGTGCAATGCAATAAATCTTTCTCTGACAGAAAATTGTTAAGCTTGTTTGGAAAACTCTGCTCTTTTTCGACTGCTGAATCTGGAGGTTTTCATGCTAGTTCTGTACACTGTCACAATATGTAGTATGCAAAGATAGTTTAATAGCAAACTGACTGAAGAAAGCACTTCTTTTTAAAACCATAATTTAAAAAGGAGATTGAGGGCATTTAGTAGAATAGTGAGGACGAATACCATAATATATTTTCCATCACGTTCCAACTGTAGTTTATTTAATTTATTTTAAACATGTTACACATTGATGCCAGCTTGAGGTAAAATACAGCTAAATTACTCGTATCTCACAATGTGTTAACTGTGAGGGAAAATACCCAAATAACCACTGAGTTCAAATTGAAAATGATTGGAACAAATGACCCGAGGGGCCGTCCTGATGTCAAATTGTATTTCAAAATTAAAATAAACTACATTGGCCTTCCTAGCTACAAATTAAGTTTGACACTGAATGTCATTTGTTTGGTGTCATCAGAATATTAAAAAAAAGTCAGCGTGATTGGTCCTTGATGCAGTATGAGGAGCTATGTGAGACCTCATGTAGTGTCTTACACCGATATTGCTCCACAGACGACACCTCCAGCAGTGACAAGTAAGTTTGGATCAAAATGTTGAACTGAATTACTGTGAATAAAACATCCGGAGCCCTGATAACTGAGGGGACACTACAGCAGCAGTGAGTACAGATCCCACAGAGTAAAAGACAGACAAATAAAGACTTATTTTCCATCAGTAATGATGAATATTTGTAGGATCACATTAAAGCCCAACATCACAATGTGCCAGTTAGGACAATATTAATACAATAGCCATAAGAGGAGGTGATGAGATCAGAACTATAAAGAGTGGTAGTACGCTGCATGCGTATACAATGCTTTGACAATACAGGTTTCAAATATGTCTTCTTTAGCTCAAGCAGTTTCTCAAGTTCTGCTTTAAAAACGGTTGAAGCAGAGGTGATGATCGGTACAACCCAAAGAACAGCATGGGGTTATGGGGAAAAGGGGGCAGGTGACTAAGCGGTTGTTTGTTAGTCCCGGTTCAGGCCTGGCAGTGACATGCGCCGACGGTGACATGATCAATAGAGGAAAGCTCCAAATTGTCGGTTCACACCTGCCATTAAAATGCATCTCCAGTGACCATTCTCTGCTTTATGTGCAAATTATCACCCATATCAGGAAGGAAGCAATGCAAATGCACCGTGTCCAGTTTGTCAATTGCAAAAAAAAACGTTGTCATCTTACAAGTCAGTGCCAGCCCTGAACGGGAAAGAACTTGCAGTCTGACACACTCGCACAGCTGTCTGTGTCCTCAGCAGCTCCATAGCACACCACTATGGCAAAGGGTGTTGTGGGCTTTCTGTTCTCCCCACAGTCCTCAGTCCCCGCGAGCGGGTCCTGCTTTTGTTTGGTGCCTCTGATCACAGATCACGTGGCCATTTGAAGGTTTGAAGTGTCACGTGTGGTTACTGCTATTAGTTAACTGTCTCTTTGTGGGAGAGTCTCTTACTCTCTGGGCCACGCAGTGGGTGTGGACAGGCACTCCACCTGGCAGACACACCACGTCTGGCTCACTGAAGGTGTTGTGGCACAGGTGGCATCCTTTCTTCTCCGACACAAAGATTGGTTTCTTACAGTCTTTCAACTGAGTAGACAAATGAAACAAAAGAAATTGAAAATTAGAAAAGGGAACATGGAATCATATGATGCAAATCATATTAACTTTAGTTATTATTTCATTGCTTCATTCAAGTATGGGGAGAGCTGTAACTTCACAAATACCTTTAAAAGTGGTAGACATTCATGTTTATATTGTCAGTATTATTGCCTCATTGCGTCAGTAATAAACATCTGATAAATGATGGTGTCCTACGACGAAACACAACTCACTAAAGTACAGCGGTCGGAGGAAGAATTCATTAAATGTCTCACTAATTTTCATGTTTTTGAGTCGTGTCATGCGTGTCTCACCCTGTCATGCAGCAGTTGAAGGTTTTCAGAGTGCGCCAGCCCCACGGCGATCTGGGAGGTGCGGCTGGCGTGCACACTGGCCCTGATGGCCCGACCCAGGAAGGGCCGCAGCAGCTGCAGTGACCAGCCCTCGGGCAGCATGCGCAGGACGCGCACGGCATCAAACACCTCGCCGTGCCGATTCAGGAGGTCCACCGCTGCCATCGCCAGGTCTCCACTCCCCGCTGCAGCCTGCGGGTTTCCCGCAGGGTTTCCGTCGAGGTAAATCCCCAATAGCAGGTGGAATAGCCGCTGTCGGTACGCCGAATCCCGACTGGAGGAGGCCCACACACAGTAGGCCTCGGCAGACGGGAAGTCTCTCAGCTCGTGCACCAATAGGTGCAGCGCTTTATCGTGCTCCTCCAGCTTCCCATATAGAGTGGCACGCTCCAGCAGCAGATGTTCACAGTTCTCCATCTTACCTGAACAGAGCAGAATAACTTGAAACATTAAGAGTTAAAAACCTGAATTTTGACCTCCATCTTTAAGTAAAATACTAAAGTGTAGTTCCAACCTCCGACTCACCCAAAAGCGACTGCGCATGGTAAAGGTTGGACCCCCTGAGCAGCGCCTGGAGCATCTCTCTTGCTCTGCAGATCTTCTCTTCGTCTGTTGGTGACATCGACAACAGGGACAAGACCGTCTCCAGGTACAACATGGCCAAGTGAGTGTGGAACTTCTCCTTCTGTATCCACAAACAGAAACTCCACGTTAACATGTGCAGATTTCTGATTTCTACTTTTGATTGAGTTGCATTTTTCTAATTATCTTGATCACAATGGGGTTTTTTTTAAAACCGGTCTTAAAACTAAACATTTTTTGAGGTTGAATACTCCTTTATAAATCTACAGACATGCCCGTGAGACGCCCAGTACATCGGCCAGTGGTTTTAACGGTCAGATTTTCAGTGGGAATCTGACAGCAGGGCACTCCAGAAAAGGAGCAATGCTCCAAGTGGAATTGTCTTGGTTCAATTTGTTTCTCAAAACCATTACAAACATTCATCCCTCTGTTTGCTTTCTTGTGTACTTAGGTGGTGGGTCTGTTGCAGGCCACGTAACTAATTTAATTCAGGACACTTCAATGGGACGGGCCACTTGTTGACCTCACTATCTGAACCAGTCTCCCGCTTCTCTCTTTCGCCACACAGCCTTTTTATTGTACCTTTATCCGTCTCTCTAGCACCAGGTGCTCCAGGTAGAGGAGCAGCGCCTGGCTGTGCTTCCCCAGGTAAGAGATTACATCATCAGGGTTGAGCTGTGGAAGCTCTTTACTGGCAGGCCTCTTGGTAAAGATGTGAACACCCACCTGTGGACAAAGAAAGACCACATTTAAAACCATATGACGTAAAATGAAGGAGAAAGCATGCAGAATATGAAGATGCTTCACACGATACGCACTGATGAAGTATTATGTGGGTATATGAGGGAGGTCAATACAAACTTGATACGATAGCGGCCTGAAGAAATGGCTTCCTACCAAAATATTTCCTACCATCATAAATGTTTGAAGCACTTAAATCAATGCAATGAGCATTGTAGAAAATTGTCGCTTACTTTCAACTATAAACAATTATGTTAATTTCTCACTGCACACTTGTCACTTTCTGTTCGCTTTATTTTTTAAAAATATTTTTCACTTTTGTTCCTTTATTTTTAAATTAACCCATAGCCTTGTACTACTAACCCATAGCATTATATTTTATTTTATTCCTCGTACACTGTTGTCTTGTCGTACTGTCTGCTGTTACACACCAACCGCCAAGTCAAATTCTTTGTATGTCTGACATATTATGGCAATAAATGTTTCCTGATTCCTGAAAAATCGTGTGTTGTGTTTATGGGATATTTTTCACATGATTGTATGTTTTTTTTTTATCCTTTTATTCTAAAAACAAGTCCTTGAGTATTTGCGGTTTTATCTTTTGTTACTGAACAGGGTTTTCTTGAGACAATTATTGAAATTTAAAACCAAGACAAATTCATACCCCTGGTTTAAAATTGAACCAGCATTAATAATCTTGAGAGCACAGTTGGGATTTGTTTTCATACAATTTAAAGTTCTGGTAACCTACAGTGGGATCCTTCCGTAAGGCCCAGTCTGCGTACTTCCACACAAGGTCCAGGCTGGAGCAGGAGCCGAGAACGTCCACAATGTACTCGTAGAGGTCAGACCTGGTGGAGTCCTGCAGATCCCCATCTGCAACTCGAATCCACAGCTGTCAGAGAAAATAAAGAGACAATATGAAAACACCTCAAAGATTGGTGTTGGTGCCAATTCTTTAGTGACACAATTAAGGAGTTCGTACCTGAAGCGCTGCGGAATCCTGACCGTTACAGCGATAGAGCAGACCAAGTGCAAAATATCTACGAGAGGGTAAAAAAGAATGAAGAAAAACGTCACCTCCATGTATGTAATTAAACTGGCTCGACTAAACTAGACACAATATTAAAGCTTTACAAGGCAGGTAATGAACAGTGTCAATTAACCAAACGCAGCCCTCACTCATTCAGTCTGCGTAGGAAATCAATTGATTCACAAACGTTCAATCACTAGCTGTAAGCACATGACACCCTCAAATAGAGGAGGAGCAATTTAACATTCAAAGCTCTTGAAAACATGAAATGTGCTTGTTAAAAATAGTATTTTTAACAAAGAGGATTATGACGATCAATACATTCTTAGTAAAGGCTGGACCCAAAACTGACAGTATACCGACTTGTTGTATTTCTCCAGCCATGGGACGCTGTCTGCTAACAGGCAGGCGTTGTCTGAAGCCAGCAGGTCTAGGAGGCTGTCATGATCCTGTTCAGCATACAGCTTCAGCAGCGCCGTGTCCACGTCCTCTCTGCACCCGTTGGCCGTCTCTGTGCTTCGTACCTGCGTGTAAAAAATGACAAAAAGAAATGATGCAATACATATAGAACCTGCTGCAACATTTGTGAATAAATCAATTTCTTGGGACTGTGTTCACCTCCCCCAGATAACTGATGAGGAATTTCTTGCAGCGCAGCACTTTGTCCTGGTCGCCCTGTGCCAAGTGGTTGAGATCTGCAAACTCATGGAGGGGAGGATGGCAGCGTGTGAACGGAGAGGACGCTGGCAGCAGCAGCGGGTAGAGAGATATCAACTCCCGCACGTCCAGCTGGCCCTTCCTGCAAATACATAAAAAAGGCAGCAAGAGAAATGAGCAACGCAATAAAGAGCTGAAAGACGAGAGAAACCTCGTAGCTGCACAACATTACTTTTAATATCAATAATTTCAAAATATTTGTCAAATATTATATATAAATATTATAGTACCTCACATATAATAATATTATATAGTACCTCACAGTAATTTGTTAGCAGTTAGTTAATAAACAAAGTAACACCAACTTAAACGTTTACCTGAAGTGTTCTTTTGCTTCTAGAAACTGAAGTTGGCCAAACTGGATGAAACCGGCCTGCTGCAGGATTCTTTTGTGCAAAATCTATAGATGCAGAAAGAAGCAATACATGAGACGCTTTTGTTTTTTTAGTAGAGAAACATCCTGACAATGACGCAATAGTTTATTTTTAAATATGTACAAGTTATCAAGTCATCACCCACCATGAACAAATTAACACAATTCAGTCATTTATTTAAAAACACAACAATGTCTGTTACCTGGAACTTGTCTTTGGGAATATTTTGCTGCGCTCCCTCTGTGAGGAGGAGCGCCTCCTCCACTCTGTGACCGGCCAGCAGGTCCTGGATCTGTCTCTCCAGGGGCAGCGGCACCAGGATATACACGGCCTTAGTGGAAGCCAGAATGACCTTTCCTAAAATCACACACACTCACGGGTCAGGACTTCAACGCTCACGCACGGCCACAAAGGTGTTTTTTTTTTTGCATACAACCAACCGACTTATTTGACTAATTCTGCGGTCTACACGTTCAAAACGTGTCCAGCTCTGGGAAGAGATGACTACATCTGTAACGTTTCTCTTGCTTTATCAGTTGTTACTATCTGTAACAGGAAGCTCATCCTCCAGATTCAATTGAGACTCCAGTGCTCTAAAAAGTACCTAAAAAGGTTTTGGAATTACGGTCCAACCGGCCAAGGCGGAGACTCTTTCCTTACGTAGACTAGTGAAGAACCGACATGTTTACCAATTCCTTTTTTCCACACATCCGTAAGTAACAAAGAAGCACTCAACAGTTAAATACTGGCTTCTTAATGGTATGAGAATTACACAGCACAATAATATAAAACAATGTCAAGTAACTATAATGTCTCATTATTAGAGAAGCGCTTTACAAAAGGAAAAGTAAAAAGATCAGCTGTGGGCATTAAAAAATGGCAGCTCGGCCAGACTGCTTCAGTCTGTATAATAGACACCTGCAGATGTACTCAGGACACTTGGCAGGATGTAATGCACAGTAAGCATAACGCTACGGTCAAGTGAAACTTTAATTATTACTACTTCTCATTACATTTTAAGGAACAGGTTATTATCAGGGAGCCTTGTTGACCTTTTTTACTGCATTACAACCTAAATGAATAAAGAGGAAATGCATAGACAGCAATTAGATAACCACTCCTTCACATATCTATTGATAAATATTTAGTTTCATGACATATGTTGAAAATGCGTGGGAAAGCCATATGTAAACATACCTTCAAAGTCTTGCAGAATGTGTCCATCCCTGAATGCAAGTGTTTGTTTTAGCTGTTGGTCCAACATGCTGTGGATGGTGATGAAACTTTCGTCCAAAGCGACCACATACGGAAAACACACAGCGGCACCAATAACGCTCTCCGACCAGTTGACTGGAGCCCGCTGAGACACCCCTTCTGCATTGGCAAACATTCCTGAGAAAGAAAAGGGAGAGAAAACTTTAGATGGATAGGAGATAAACCGGGATCATTAATGGAGCACTCGAGTCAAGAAGTACTAATAAAATACAAGAACAGGCAGGTAAAACTACCTTTAGATTAACACTAAATGCTGTACATTAAAAGAAAAGTTAGGAATTCAAACCATTGGATGGAGAAGTAACAATAATTTGAATACAACAGGTTGAATTTAGTATATTCTTCAGGCATGGAGGTCAAAGAATGACAAGATTGGTGGATTGAATAAGGCCAACAAATACCTATTGAGTAAATTAATTTATGGACATTTGTGTCGCCACTTCTCAGCAGTAAAAGGAAGGGAAAAAATCATAATTTTCCCAATAATAAACACGATCTGGACACTGATAAGTGACATAATATGCATCAAATGTCAGATAAAATGTAGACTTGTCCATTCTGTGAAGTGCACAGCTTTTTATAGCGGAGTAAACCAAATCCAGTGCTTCGGGTACTGAACAGGAACCCTGGTTTTGTCCCAACGTACCCAGACCACCAGGTGCTGCCAAGAGGAACTCCTCCCTGCCGATCCGCTTCACAATGGGTGTCCTCCTCTCACTGTTGTAAGGGAAGAGGTCTTGGGAGGCTCCCGTGTTGTAGTTCAGAATCATGTACTGTGTAGCGAGGGCCACGCACAAGAAGTAACCATCAACACTGACGGCACACGGCTGCTCAGGGGTGGTCACCTCTTTGACCAGCTGCACTCTGTCCTCGTGCACCATGTAGATCTGCACCGTACGGCGCTTGGAGGAAAGCACTCCCATTTCCACACAGAACGGGTCGCCGTTTACAGGGTTCTCGTTGACGCAGAACGCCGTCACACCTCGGATCTTGGCTCCGCCTCCTGCCCCCGAGGGCATGGTCTCCAGAGTCACCATGTCGACCAGGAACACTATTCCATCACAGAGCACGATGAGACGCTCCAAAGCGGAGGCGGCGCGCAGCTCGGCAACTGGTTTCTTAAGGCCCAGATATTTGTGCAGCAGCTTCTGAGCAGAGTAGCTCAGTTTCCCTTTGGAGGAAGTGACCTCGTCCAGCAGGAAGTGGTGGATGAAGCAGTCATTGGTGCCCAAGTACAAGTGTTTTCCACAGCATTCGATGCACTCGATGTTGATGCGAGCCTTGTCGCCCATGAGGAGATCTCGCTCCACAGCGGGGACAAGCTCAAAAGCCTTCACACTCATCTCAGCCCAGGCATCTACACTAGAGGATGCAAAATAGAGAGACCTCATCAATCTGCATACAACTCAAACACTTACACTGGCCATATACTGCTAAATATCAACTATACAGAAATAAGACACAATGAGGGACAGGTGTGTCCCTAGTTCACAGCGGTCTTTGGATTTGAGGCAGTGGAGATTTGGGTAATTGGACTGATTCTCCTTGGATGAAACACACATACACACACGAGAGGGAATTCAAAATCCCAAACATTGTTTATATCTAAAGGATTTCCAGGTGGAAAACATTATCTTGGATACCTAGGATATCAAAGCAGATATTTTCTGAAATGATCTGACATTTCATGGATCAGACAATTCATTGACACTAACTGTGTCTAGTCATGCTCCCTCCTCCTCCTCCTCAAGGGTTGGGCACCTTGGGTTGGTGATACGTTTATAAAGATGCTACTTATGGCCGAGCTGCCAGTCATATATGTACATAGTAATATTAAAATGAATGAGTCGTTTTTTTCTTAGATATAAATGTTGAAGCTACCTTCAAAGTCTGCCCTGTTACTGTAATCAGCTCCTTCACCGGTATGGTTAGCTCATACACATCCTTTAAAAAAAAAACGATCCCGAGTAATGTCGTGAAGCGAAGTAAGTCTTATTTCTTAAACAGTATTCATGTTGAGTCAAATTTTAGTTCATTTTCAACAGTTCTTGAAGACATTAGCGAACATACTCTCTCATGTGGTGACAGCTAAAGACATTAACGCTAGCTTGCTAAAGGCTAAACCCAGTAGCTAACGTTAGCTCAACAATGTCACCTGTTTTAGCACAGGCTGACTGGTGGCAGAACAATTTACTCGTAGTAGAAGGTACCTGTGGGTGTGCGAGGACGTCGTGTTCAGATTTAAAGTGCTTATACTAGTTAGCCACGGACCAGCTAGCTAAGCTAACGTTAGCTTAAATAGACCAGTGGTGCCAATGCTAACAAGCTAATTCCGCTGAGATATTATATTTTCAATGTGGTCATAGAAAGCGGTCACTTTGTCTCACGAAGCGAATATCCAAAGGAAAAGGACCTAGTTTCCAACCGGCCTCCTCTCCCTCGAGATGATGCTCTGTCAAGGACTCTGCGCACTAACTCACTCCCTAGTTTCTCTTGGAGCTGTTGGCGCAAGCATACGTACCGCTGCAGACAGCGTTCAGGACGGCAGGCCAGTTCACCGCCAGCAGGCGAGCCTCACTACTCTAGAAGCAGCCGCCGAGACATTTATGTACTTTGTAACATTAATATGGCCATGGCGCTCGGGTCAGCCCCATACCGACAAATGCAGTAAATACAGCTAATTGAATGGTGCCCTTTCCACTATATTAAACGCCGCCCATCTGCACTAAACTCCTGCTGGTTGCAGGTGATATAAGGATGCGTTTACGACCTGGAACAAAGTTGTTAGTTTTCTCAACACATGTTGTACTGACCTGATGTAAGATGTATGTGTGTTGCAAGAGCAAATATCAGATGGGTTAAGTGCTTTGTTGACACTACATGTGCGTTAAACAACAGTATTGATTGCATCCCACAAGGGAGGTCCTGGCACGGAAATAGCTCATTATGACACTTAATGGAAAAAAACAACATTGATTTTATTCCACCTGTAGTTTCCCTGCTATGACAGGGCAAATGTCTGTTTTTTTATTCTGTTTAAAATACGTAAATTTGTTGTATTATGGTATTTTTCAGTACAATGTTACCGTGAGAAATTGTATGTACAGTATGTGGAGAGCAATGGAAGAAAACGGAGTCAAATGAAAAGGATTCGAATGTATCCGCTTTATTATCATTATTATATTTTAATTACATTTCTGTAATTGTTAAGTTATTTTTTTTGACGTTGCTTAAACTGTGATCTAGTATAATGTTAGTTTAGAAATTAAAGTATGTGTATGTAATTCAATTCAGTGGTTTGATTTAACGTTTTGAGAACTTAAAAAAAAAAAGTTACTGACGCTGAAAGTTCAAATTGTCCTGAACGCACCTCGGCCGCTTTTCACCCAGGATGCACCTGTTCAGCTGAACTGTCCAAGAAAAGCCATTTTGTTGTGCTAGCTAGCTAACGTTTAGTGGGTAAAGAAAGACACATTTGATATGGGTCTGTTATACCAACGTTAACTATGTCGCTTTTACGGGCGCGTATGCTTCTGCCAAATGCAATAATTGAACTGGTTGAAATCTGTAAGTAGTCGAGGCTGGCATGGACTAGCCTCAAAAAGCTAAAGTGTTGTGGTGAAGACGAGAGCTGGTAGCTAAAGTGTGCTGCAGTTTCAGATAACACACTGTTAGCTAGCTGCTTACTGACTTTACGCTAGTTATGTTTTCTCATTGATCAACCCAACGTTAGCCAGCGTTTATTTCTACCTGTGTATCACATACAGCGAGACTGCCCGTGCTGTCTGCCAGAGACGAACCGCTCCAACGAAGAGTCCGTGTCGCTGACAGTAAATAAACAGGCGAGGGGAAACAAATCTAACGTTACAGTAACTTGCACCATACCGCGTTAAGCCCACGCGCTAATCTGATAATGGCAGAAGACACCCGACAGGACAAGAGAGCCAGCTTCTCCGCTATAACGGAGCACAACACCAACGGGATGGCCAGGACCTCCGCCGTGGCCTCGAGCAAAAGTGGCGCCTCAAAGAAATTAGTGATCAAAAATTTCAAAGGTAACGTGGCTGTCTTCGTTCGTTTTCTTCCTCGTTAATTAACAAAATCAGTCGCGTTGATTTTTTTCATGAATAAGACCGGATGAGTTAACTGGGAGATCACGCTGTTATAAAAGTTGATCTCCTGCGGGGCAGTGAAGAATGTGTTGACCCCCCCACGCTAACTGGTCATTAGCACATGTCAGCCCCGCACGGGGCTTTTGTTTGTAATCGCAGTGTTGCGTCACGGTGAGTTTGCTGTTTTTACTCAACGATGCATTGATTTAATGATGGCGTGATGATTTAAAAGCCGTTCACAGCTTTTGGTTGTATCAATCGAACATATTTGGTTCTTGTGGTGTTAATACAGATACCACTGTGTATGTACTCGGAACATCGTTTGGTAACATCATTTTAGGGACATAAATGTTTTTTTAGGTAATTGAGTTTTGATTTCTGGCAAATCTAGAATCCTAAATTAAGATGAAATAACATCTTCCTAAAGTGGCCCAATGGCTTGTGGTGATATGTATTACTAACTAGTAATCATATTCCAAAAAAGGACTATCTTCTTTTATTGAAAAATGTTAAACGCTATGCTTTTTACCTGTGTCCAAACCTTTTCAGATTCATCCACGTCCATTTTATGAACTAGGTAAAGAAATCATAGTTGGATAAAGTTCCATAAAAATGAGAATTTAAATTCTTACCTTGGGTCCAAAGTGTTTCTGTGTGAGGCTCTCTCTCGTCCAGTGTTTGGTTATTCCAATACGACCATGTAATTATGTATCTTTGTATTTGTAACTGATATATTAAATACTACCCATTGCAGATGTTGGTGAGAAAAAATGGCACTGCAGCATAAACTATAAGAACTGATGGTTTCCAAATCTCAAGCTATGTTCTATCCAATTGCTGATATTGTTTGATTTGTATTAATGAGTTAGCATGTTTAGCGTTTCCCGGTGTGTATGAATAAACATTGTTGCTTTTTTTTTTGTAACAGACAGGCCAAAACTAGCCGAGAACTATACCGAGGACACGTGGCTGAAGCTCCGGGATGCAGTCAGCGCCATCCAGAACAGCACCTCCATCAAGTACAATCTGGAAGAGCTCTATCAGGTTAGCAGATTACTCCTGTACAATTTGGATGGAATCCATCACATTGTGAACAGCATCTCTCCTTAACAAGTAACTTGTGTTACTAGTATACGTGGATGTGCATCAAGATTTAGAAACTACATTTCCTCATAAAAAAAGTGGATTTACAAATTTTACTAAAATGAATGGAAACTAGTGACTATATCTGTCACAATGAATGTGGTTATAATGTGTTAAACAAACCGCTGTCTGATCCTAGTAAACCACGTGTCTGCTGTGTGTCTCTTGTCTCCTCTCCGTGTCTCTCTCTCTCTTTCCCTTGAAGGCGGTAGAAAACCTCTGTTCGTATAAAGTCTCCCCCACGCTGTACAAGCAGCTACGGCAGGTCTGTGAAGATCATGTGCAGGCCCAGATCAAACAGTTCAGAGAATATCCTTTGTTTTGCAACGCCATCACCACGTTATCGGGAACATCAGCTGTGTATAGGATGATTAATGAGGTGGTGTTACATTTTGAATCATGGTACATTGTGAAAGAGAGACGTCCATGACGGTAGTTGTATTACCTTGAACTGAATCTTGCATCGAGGAGCCCGTGAATGATAGCGAGAGAAGACAGGTGTTCCAGTTTAAACATTGCCGCGTGAATGCACTGATCACAAAGCTGTTGTGTTGACCTTGATTCCAAATGTGGTTTTCTTTGGAGTTACCGTGTTGGCTTTAAACTTAATTTTTCTTGTCTCGGGGTTTTTTGCAGTGTTTTGTCATCTAAGGGCAAAATGCAACAATTTAGGCATTTGTCCTTCATATTATTATATTATATAGGTGAATCAGCTTGAACAGACTTTGTCTGTCACTGACTGATGATGCACAGCTGCTTAAAGTGTTGTCCAGTACAACAAGATGCTGAATAATTGCCTCAAATGACATACGATTCCATTATATAACTATTTTAATTTCCCCCAGTTGCTTAATAGATGTTTTTATACTTTATGTACTTGCACATAGATTTATTTCTTCTAAAATGACCCTTGTCAGGCTCAGTACATTTAAGAAAATTGGTTTTATTTTATTCCTGCTGCCTAGTCAACGATACTGTCATGTACGGTCATTCACGTTTTTGGTTCAGTGACATAAATGTTTTTCCCTTAACACTGAGCTCACAGAGTCTTTGGACAACCTTTCCTTCCTCAAGCGAATGAACCGCTGCTGGCAGGATCACTGCAGGCAAACTGTAAGTGTGACGTTTGACATGTATGCACATGAAATGTTCACTCGTACAAGGATTTCCTTTGAACCTGTTTTTTTTTTGTCCTTCTCTTCTTATAGATAATGATCCGAAGTATCTTTCTCTTCCTGGATCGTACCTATGTGCTTCAGAACTCCCTCCTCCCTTCCATCTGGTAGAGTTACAGTTTATACCTTATTGTGTTTGTTCGGGTGTACTTGCACTAGGACGCTGATGTTATGATTGCGCTGCAGGGACACTGGATTGGAATTGTTTCGTACCCACATTGTGAGTGACACTGCGGTTCAGAAGCGCACAGTGGACGGCATTTTGGAGCAGATTGAACTCGAGCGAAATGGAGAGACAGTAGACCGGAGTCTGATCAGAAGCCTTCTGGGGATGCTGTCAGACCTGCAGGTACCTGATCACTTGTTTATTAACGTGCTACGCTGACCAGTAGTAAATCGGCCGAGGATGTGTCTGAGCTGTTGGCGTCCCTCTAACTTGTGTTAAGGTGTACAAAGAGTCCTTCGAGGAGAGATTTTTGATTGAGACCAATCGCCTGTATGCAGCAGAGGGGCAGCGACTGACGCAAGAGAGAGACGTGAGTGAGACTATTAATGCTTCTATCATCAGTAAAGATCGATGTCCTTCTCATCTGTATCTGTATTGATGTGTGTTTGTATGTGTCCAGGTGCCTGAGTACCTGCACCACGTGGCTCATCGGCTAGAGGAGGAGAATGATCGCATCATGAGCTACCTCGACCAGAGCACTCAGTAATTAGTTTCTTACATTTGTTTATGTTAATATAATGTACAACTGAGACAAAAAGAAGAAAATGAGCATTCATTTCCCCTGAAAGCTGTAAACCTAGCGGAAGCTATATGTATAAAACTTTGTACAATCTACTACATGGTACTATTAATGTAGGGCCATGCCATCAGAGTATCAAATGACCCCAGGGCTCTGGTTGTAACTCTAGTTTGTGGTCATTTAACTGTATCCACCTTGTCACAAAACAGTTGGTTTTGTCATAATTAGACATGAATGCAAACATTTCTAATTCGTATTTTAAAAATGACATTTTTGACTTCATCCATTTCTGAGTCGATGCCGATTCTTTCATTGAACAACCAAAAACAAACATTCAATAAAATAGTGATTACCTACTCTCACTGCTGTAAAAGGTTAGCCTACTGTGTACAAACATGGAACATGGCTCCAGTTTACCAAGTGATCAATAAGCCAGGTAATGATAAGGATGCTCAAAAACAACACAACGTTTTATGTCTGTTTCTGGCAGACAATGTTCCCAACTAGCTGCATCCAGGAGTAAAGGACCAATATGGATGTAACCAACATTTCCTAATTTCTTGTCATTATTT